GCGTGATGCCCACCACGGGCACGCGGGGCATGGGCGGGTAGCCCAAGCCTGGGTAGGTGGGCACAAAAGGGGGCTGCATGTGTGGGGGTGGCAGAAACAGGGCCACCTGGGCAGGTGCGGCATCGAAGGGCCCCACGGGGGCGGGGAAGGGCTGCAGGGGAGGGGGTGCGGCAGGCACCGAGGACACTTGCTGCTGCTGCTGCTGCTGCTGCTGCACTTTGGCCACCTGGGACACCTCTTCCAGCCACCGCTCGGCCTCCGAAGGCGTCCGCTTGTGCCCAGGCTGGAAGGCGGCTGCCGGGGACACCGACGGCTCGCCCCAGGCAGACGTCCCTGGGCAGAGGAGAGGGCAGGTGAGGGCGAGGGCTGCGTCAGAAGGAACCCGAGGCTGGGGTCAGACTCTGAGCTAGGCCTGAATCCATCCTGGACCACATAACAGTTCTGCGGTGCTAAGAACATACAGTTCTGGGATCCTAAGGCCCCACGATGGGAAACATATAGGCAGGACTGACAATCAATCACCTGTTATTAACTATGTTTAATAGCGCCCTTGGCTCTGATACGTTGAGGATGTTTTGTTTTAGGAGGCTAAGATTCTAAGGCTCCATAGATCTTCCTCATTCTAACGTGATGAGTAAGGTTCGATGGTTTTAAGTTTCTGTTTTCTAAGAGCTTTAAATTCACATTGTTTGCAAGTCTAAGGTGCTCTCCTGGTTCTACCATAGCCCCGAGGCGAGGCGATTCCACTGCGCAGTCTCAGAGAGCGCTCTCCAAAGCTGCGAGACTCCAGGGTCATGGCCCCAAATCGGTTAGATTCCAGTATCCTGTGCTGCTAAGGCTAGAGGTTTCTGACTTTCATTATTCTAAGACAGGAAGTCTTTTTAAAAATGTATGTCTTTATTGATTTTTTAGATATAGAGGAAGGGAGAGGGAGACAGAAACATCGATGAGAGAGAAACATCAATCGGCTGCCTCCTGCACGCCCCCTACTGGGGATGGAGCCTGCAATCCGGGCATGTGCCCTGACCAGAACTGAACTGGAGGCCTCTTGGTGCCACGCCGGCCAGGCTAAGACAGGAAGGTTTAAAAATGATCCCATGGCCCAGCTGGTGTTGCTCAGTGGTTGAGTGTCGACCTATGAAGCAGGTCACGGTTAGATTTCCAGGCAGGGCACATGCCCCGGATGTGGGCTCGATCCCAGTAGGAGGCATGCAGGAGGCAGCCAATCAGTGATTCTCTCTCATCATTGATGTTTCTACCTCTCTCTCCCTTTCCCTTCCTCTCTGAAATAAAAACATATTTAAAAATAAAAGAAAAATAACAAGGATCCCATGGGGCCCTGGTCGGGTAGCTCAGCTGGTTGGAGCATCGTCCCACACACCAAAAGGTCGTGGGTTCGATTCCTGGTCAGGGCACATACCTAGGTTGCAGGTTCAATCCCTGGTAGGAGCACGTACGGAAGGGCAACCGGTTGATGTTTCTCTCTCTCTCTCCTCCTTCCTCTCTCAAATCAATAAAAACTTATCCTTGGGTGAGGATTAAAAAAACAAAGTGATTCCTTGGTTCTAAGGTGCTCCCAGAGCTCTAAGATGACCCATGGTCCTGAGCCTGTGGGATTCCAAGATCCCTGGAGTCCCTGCGGTGACCCCGAGTGGAGCAGGGGGATGCAGGGGGCGCCCCAGGCAGGGCTGGGCTCACCTGTGGAGGCAGGCGGCGGCCCTGGTGCTGGCGCTCCAGCACTGGCAAAAGACGAGCTGATCTGTGTGCACAGAGCACTGATGCTGTCGCTGTCGCTGGCCCCAGGCGGCTCCATCTCAGGCACTGGGCGGTCAGGGAGAGGCGGAGGTCAGTGATAGGCCCAGACCCTGTTCTTGACCCCTTTGCCCTCAGGTGCTCCTCTCACAAGGTGTGTGGGTCGGTGGTAACTAAGTAACTAAGTGGCCATGGTCACAAAAATGCTAACTCTGTGCGTGTGTGTGTGTGTGTGACATCTGGGTGGTGCAAGGAGTGTGAGACACTGGGGTACTGATAGTCTGGACTGGACCCACAAGCCAGGTCAGAGCCAGAACTGAGGCTGCGTCCTGTAAATCCCCTGAGAGACCTCTCCTCTGCCCCAGGTGTGCTGTTCCCGGAACAGGTCACCGCCCGGCCCAGGCAAGCATGTAAGTGGTTTCCCCTTACCTGGGGCAGGTCACACCCCGCACCCTTCCGTCCTGCCCTGTCCCATATAACCTCTGAGCGCCTGCCCTGTGGCACAGAGGATATTCGTGTCATCTGGCCTCTGCCCACGATGTGCCTCGTAAGTAAATTCCCTTAATCAACTCCTGGTCCCGTGATGGAGTCATCAGCCTCTTTCTCTGGTCTCTTGGCCCTGGGACATTTTCCCAGCAGTTGGATGGCAGTCACAGGGGCCCCAAATCAAGGGGGACCTCAAGAAGGACCTGTCTATAGCTACAAACCAGAAGAAATATTTAAACTGTTTAAAAACAGATAGTGCCCGACCAGCGTGGCACAGTGGCTGAGCATCAACCTATGAACCACGATGTCACGGTTCAATTCCAGGTCACACACATGCCCGTATTGCAGGCTTGAGCCCCAATAGTGGGCGTGCAGGAGGCAGCCAATCAATGATTCTGTCTCATTGATGTTTCTGTCTCTCCCTCTCCCTTCCTCTCTGAAATCAATACAATTACGTTTTTAAAAATAAAAACATATATTAATTTAAAAAATATATTTAACCACATAGATGGCAAGAGCATTGACCAGTCAGAATGAATGTGGGCCACACTGTTTTTCACTGGCTGGGGATCACTTGTCCTGCTTTGGGTGGCAAAATGGGGCCCTGTCCACGCTGGCCTATAACCCGTATCACGAGGGCAGAGACACAGCCGTGCCAGGAAGACAGTGAGCAGAGGTGGGGCCTCAGCGCACTTGAGATGAGCAAAGGGACCATCTGAATAAACAGCGGTGTGGGGCGACAAGTGCCTGTGACAGCTCAGCCACAGGGGTGATGCTCCAATGAGCACGAGGAAGAAACTGACTGGAGGAGTCAGCAGGGGGGGGCGTGGGGGTGGGCAGGGGGGAGGGTATATGGCTTCCAGGTCATTTACATGAAGAGTGTGTGTGTTAGTCCGAAGGAGCGTGCAGCCTCAGAGGATGTGGCATCTGAGTGCGACTGAAATCCAGTGTGTGGTGACCTGACTGCGATTCCCAAGTGTGAGCCACGCTGCCTGCATGATGTATGAACGTGTTTGCAAGCATGCATGAATCTGCATGTGTGATTCCAAGTGTGCATGGATGGGGGTGTACCTGCAACTTCCAATTCTGTGTGATTTTGGTGTGCACATGACTAAGTGTGCGACTGACGGGAACATCTGTGTGAGTTGGTGAAATTTCTGTGTGGCAAGTCACGTCTAAGCAAATGAGCAATTGGCTACAGGAGTGTGAGGCTTCCAAATAAAGCCTGGGGAGCCTGCCCCCTCCAGGGAGCACGTGTGAGCTTAATGTCAGGCTGGAAGAGGACAGCAAAAAAGGGATGCTGCCGGACACGGAGGAGTGAATGCCAGTCATTCTCAACGAGCCCTGGCATCTGCCCAGCCGCCACCTTCTGGAGTAGCCCAGCCTCCTGGATACCCGTCAACACCGCCCACACCAGTCCCCGAGCCGTGAGGGTAGGTGTCCCGGTGAGGTGTCTGGAGGCAGGGGAGCAGGCCAGACCACATGACTTCACCGGCAGCTGGAGGAAAGGCCGCCCTCCCGCCTGTCTCCCTTGCACAAAACGTGGTACCACACCACCTCCCCTCTCCCTTTCTCACCGCAGCTGTTGCTTTATTTTTTCTTTAAATATATTTTTATTGATTTCAGAGAAGGGAAGGGAGAGGGAGAGCAATAGAAGCTTCAATGATGAGAGAGAATCATTGATCAGCTGCCTCCTGCATGCCCCCTACTGGGGATTGAGCCCATAACCTGGGCATGTGCCCTGACCAGGTTCAAACCATGACCTCCTGGTTCACTGGTCGATGTTCAACCACTGAGCCACACCCGCTGGGCCAGACTGCTTTACATCATGACATATACCATCTTTCTCCTTTCCTGGGCACATTGCAGACATTAGTAATCAAACACAATGCTTTCCCCCCACTGAACTCTGCTCACCTCAGCCCTCACCTGGCTCTGGCCTCTACAGGCCAAATCCTGGAAGACAGAACTGATCCTTGTGACCCCATCTTCCCTCCAAGCAAAACAGGACATTTAAACGGCCTCTCTCCTAGCATCACCATGGCAGACATTGCTAATCAACAATGGTGGGTGCTGCCCTGGCCCAGTCCTTTGCCCTCAAGTGACATCACAAAGCCACCACCATGCTCCCTGACCCTGCGATTCCCACGCTCCCTTGTGCCCTCCATTTCATGTTTCCTCTGGCCAAATTCTGGCCGTCTCTCCGTGGGTGAAAACCTAGCACTCCTATTGCTCTCCCTTCCTCCCTTGCCCACAGCAAACTCTGCTAATTATTCACGTGGTGTGCCACCTTCTCCTTTTTCTTGCTCACCCAGACATTGGAAGGAGCTCAAGATGTAAGCCATCACTCTATTCTCCCTGCCCCAGGCAGGCATTGCTAACCGATCACAATCCTCTGTGACGCAGCCTGAATTCTTCACGCGCCAGATCTCATGGCTTTACTGGCAAAGGCTGGTGCCTCAGTCTCCTCCTGAGCAAAATCCTGGCATTGGTGCAGCTGCCCTCCTCCCCTTGTCCACAGCACTTTGCTAATCGGTCATGTAGGCCACCTCTTGCATTTCCCTAACCACAGCAGACATAGCTAATTGATCATGACTTGTGCCACCTTTCTTTTATCCTTTGTCCATAGCAGACACTGCTAATGGATCATGATTTCTACTCTCTCTGTCCATGGCAGACACTGCTAATGGATCACAACGTGTTCCACCTCTCATCTGTGTGCACGGTAGACAGTGCTAATCAATCGTGATGGCCACCCCATTCTCTATCTCGTGCACAGACAGTGGTATTGATCCCGGGCTCACCTGTGCTCTTCACCTGGAAGTCAGTGCGGCGCTGCAGCGTGGATGGCAGCTCATTCAGCCTCAGGCTCAGCTGCCGTTTGAAAGGCGAGTTCTTCTGGCTGAGCGCCGGGAACCCACGGAAGGAGCCCTGGCGAACCAGCTGCTCCAGGGGGGCGTGGCGACGGGGGATGGCGGCTGCGGTGGTGCCTGCAGCCACGGGGGTGCCTGCCTCACCCTTCTCACCAGGGGATGTGGTGGCCGGTGTCGGGGACACGCGCCCAGGCTGGGCAGGGCCGGGAGCCGCAGTGGGGGCAGCTGCCGCCTCTGTTGGAGACACGGGAGACGGAGGTCAGATACCTCACCCTGGCATCAGAGGCCTCCCCACCTGGCCCCCTTGGTCCTTCCCGGCGGCGGCCTTCCTCACCCAGTGTATCCTGCCCTCCAGACGGGCTGGTCAGGGCCGTGAATGCCCCTCACCCCCACCCAAGTCAAGACCGCTTTCCCCAGGAAGCCACTGAGGAACCTCACCCCAACCTAACCTTCTGTGTCTTGCTAGCTTTCTGCCACCGATCTCTTTCCTCTGCTGTTCCCCCTTTGAGCCCTCCTATCTCCTTTTCTGACTAATGTAATGGGCACTTGCTTGGTGCATGACCAATGAATCAGGCCTTGTTCTAAGTGCCTGGTAATAACTAACTCATTCAATCTTCAAAACCACCCCTTGAGGTCAATACTACCAGTGTCCCCATTTTACAGAGGTGAAAACTGAGGCCCAGCAATGGTAAGTGACTTGCCCAAGCCACAGTGCTAGCAAGAGGCAGGCCGACTCTGGAGTTGGTGGTCCCACTACCCTAACCGGTCTCTCCCTCTGGCTTGGTCTCCCCACGTCATGCTGTCTTCCTCTATCATTCTGTCTGTTCTTCTCTCCGTCTCTGTACCTCCCACCATTCTTCCCACCTCAACTGCCTCCTCCCTTCCTCCAGTTGCTACCCATCCTTCTAGACCCAGCTTGACACACTTCCTCTGGGGAGCTTTCCAGATCTCTCCAGCCCTTCATCCTGGTCTCCCTCCACTCTGGGACTACCCAAGGCCTGCTCTTCCAGGGCAGGGTCCCCTCACCCCTGCCAACACACACACACACACACACACACACACACACACGCACACACACACCCTCCAATCAGGGCCTCACCCAAGCTGTAGCCTGAATGCCAGGGAGCTTAAACTCAGGCCCAGAGTGGGCAGGGAGGTCACCTGGCATTTCTTCTCTCATCTTCCGGGTTGAGGCCTGGCCAGGTGACAGCCTGGGACAGGTTGGAACCAGGAACCACCTCTACCCCAACCCCCTTTAGGGACCTTAGGAAGTGTCCCTCTCCTTCCCCCCCCTCTGGGCTCCAGCTTCTGCACTATAACCCCCTCACTGGGCCTCCTGAGAGGGTCAGCGGAGGCAGTAAATGTCCCATGCTTTTCCTTCCTCTCTGAAATCAATGAAAATATTTTTTTTAAAAAAGAATGTTATTGATAAAGCAATAAGAATTAGTTAAAAAATTTGCTTTCCTAACTTTTCTGTTAGAACTATTTTAAACTTATAGAAAAGATGTTTTAATGGAACAATGAGTGTGCATGTTTCCTATCTTTTTAAAAAATATATGTTTTTATTGATATTTAGATAGAGAAAGGAAGAGGAGGTAGAAACATGGATGAGAGAGAAACATCAATCGGCTGTCTCCTGCACACCCCCTACTGTGTATCGAGTCCACAACCCGGGCATGTGCCCTGACCGGGAACTGAACCAGTGACCTCTTGGTGCACGGGACAATGCTCAACCCACTGACCCACACCCGCCGGGCAAGCGTGCAGGTTCTCTTCACCTACGGTCCCAGTGTTAACATGTTATCACATGTGCTCTCTCCCTCCTTCTACAATTTTCCCTACCATTTAAGAGTAACTTTCAGTGTGGCCAGCATGGCTCAGTGGTTGAGCCTTGACCTATGAACCAGGAGGTCATGGTTCAATTCCCGATCAGGGCACATGCCTGGGTTGTGGGCCGATCCCCAGCAAGAGGCAGCCAATCAGGGATTCTCTCTCATCATTGATGTTTTTATTTCTCTCTCACTCTCCCTTCCTCTCTGAAATCAATACAGATATATTTTTAAAAATAAAGAGAAATTCTAAAAAAACAAAAAAAATAAAAGAGTAACTTCAGACAACTTAACCCCAAGCCTTCCGCATGTACCTCCAAAGAACAAGGACAGTCTCCTACACAACTACAGTATAATTTCTCACTTGGGGAACTGAACATGAGTATAATACTATTAGCCAATCTACAGTCCATAGTCCAGTTTCCCCAACTGTCCAGATCATGTCCTTCATAGATGTTCTTGTTTACATATGTGCAGGACCACACACTGCATTTAATAATACTTGTCAAATCTCTTTAGTCTCCTTTAATCTGGAACAGTTCCCAATGGGAAATTCTTTGTCAATTTTAAGCAGTGTTTTCAAAAAATCTTAAAACTAGAATCCACATAAAAGAAAAACTAAGTCACATTGTGACTGAGCATATAATACACTTACGTTGGAAAAATTTTTTTTTACAATTGACAAAGGTATTGCCAGTGACCTAGAATGTTAGAGTCTATCAGATATTTATCAAACTTTCTTGATGGCAACCAGAGTAAGAAATACCTTTACATGCTAACCTATTCCACGTACAAACATACACAAAATGAAATAAAAACATCATTAAGCTATACTCATCCTTACTACATTTGATTACTCTGTATTTTCAATTTCATTTTTTTGTACACACTTTGAAAAGCCTGGGCACCTCCCTGAGTTGGCAGGTAATAGAGCCATTTGTGAACTTTGCTGGGATTTGTGGCCCCAGAATATTGCCCAAAGGACTCTAACTAAATGAGCTTTATAAACTGTAACCAAACTTTGTGGTTGGTGCTCTGCTTTGTAAACTGTGAGTCCCTGTACCGCCGCAGCTTTCCCTGCAAACCGGACCCGCAGCCTCCGGGGCCCACTCTGTGCCCTGCCGTCCGGGCAGCACCCACCTTTCTTCTTGTCCGGGGCTTCTCGGTCAGTGGGCCGCCCACCCCCAGACAGGCGGAAGGAGCCCTCGCGGGCAAAGCTGGTGCGGCTGGCATCGAAGGTAGCCGTGACCCCACATTCCTTCTCGCGCCGCTGTTTCCGCTCCAGGCAGGCAGCAAAAGCACAGCCCACGGCGTGGCTCAGCCTCTCGCCCTGTGAGGAGAGGGTGGGGCCGGGGTTGGAGATGCTGAGTTGTGCACCCTGGACACCAGGAGCCCTGGGTCCCAGCTCCCAGGTGCTGGTGACCCCGGGCAATCCCTCTGCCGCTCGGACCTCAGTGAACACCTGCACCGAGGGACACAAATGACAGCCCTGAGTGAAAACAGAAAGCCAGCAACAAGGGTTCAAGACTATGGAGATTCCTCAAAAAATTAAAATCAGCCGAAACCGGTTTGGCTCAGTGGATAGAGCGTCAGCCTGCGGACTGAAAGGTCCCGGGTTCGATTCCGGTCAAGGGCATGTACCTGGGTTGCGGGCACATCCCCAGTGGGGGATGTGCAGGAGGCGGCTGATCGATGTTTCTCTCTCATCGATGTTTCTGACTCTCTGTCTCTCTCCCTTCCTCTCTGTAAAAAATCAATAAAATATATTTTTTTAAAAAAAATTAAAATCAGAGCTGTCATACGACCCAGCAATTCCACTTCTGGCTATTTATCCAGAGAAAACAAACAAAACAAAACAGAAACAGACCTATAGATATATAGAACAAGCTGATGATGGTCAAAGAGAAGGGGTGGGGGATGGGAATAAAACAAGAGTGCAATACTGTATACCTCCACTTATATGAAGGTCTAAAATAGGCAACACTAATCCATGGTGAAAAAAGGCCGAGCAGTGGCTCTTTCTGAGGGGGTGGGGTGGGGATGGACTGGGAAGGGCCGGGGGATGGGTTGGGGTGGTTGTCATGTTCTAGAACTTCACAGGGGTTTGGGTTCCACAGGTGTATGCAGTTGTCAAAACTCAGCAAAAGTATACCTAAGGTTTATGGTCAGCATGTGTTTTTCCACGGGGAAATGGGACAACCACGAGGCTTATATAGTCCCAAAAGCTATGGCCAGTTCAAAGGGTTCAATCCAGACTTCAGGGTCAACGATCCACGTTAATTACCTGAATCAACCGAGGCCTACCTGGAAAGAAGTGAAATGACAACTAGAAAAGAAAAAGAAAGGCTCCAAGGAATTAACTAAATTTGAAGAAAAAAATGAATGAGAACTGAAAGAAAGACCAAGAAAAAGACCAGGGAGAGATAATTAAGTGGAAATGGGAGTTCAGCCAAAAGAAGACAGAGCAAGAAAACAGAAAAGAAGAAATCTTCAAGCTCTGATTCTTCCAGCAGTTCTTCAGATTCTGAAGATGCGAATTTACAAAAAGAAAAAGAGCAACCATTCACATTAATTACAGGAAGTTCTATGTTAGAGAGTGAATCAGACAGAAAGGAGAGTTTAAAAAAAAATAAAGAAGTCAAAAGATGCAACTGAGCCCTGGCAGTGAGGCTTGGATGACTGGGCATTGTCCCATGCACTGGAGGGTTGCTGGTTTGATTCCAGGTCAGGGCACATGCCTGGGTTTTGGGTTTGATCTCCAGTGGGGTTGTTCAGGAGGTAGCCAATCAATGTTCCTCTCTCTCCCCCCCTCTCTAAAATTAAAATCAATAAAAAATCTTAAAAAAAAAAAAGAGAGAGAGAGAGAGATGCAACAGAGAAAGGAAAGGACATTCAAGTTCAAGGACTTGGCAAATAGAGAAAGATGTATCCTGACGGTAAACCTTTATCATCTGAGTCCTTATCAGAATCAGTAATATTGAGGAGGTATAAGCAAAAAAGAAGAAAAGGCCCTAGCTGGTTTGGCTCAGTAGATAGAGTTTCGGCCTGTGGATTGAAGGGTCCCAGGTTCGATTTAGGTCAAGGGCACGTACCTTGGTTGCAGGCTCTATCCCTGGCTCTGGTCGGGGCACATGTGGGAGGCAACCAGTCAATGTTTCTTTCTGTCTCTCCCTCTCCCTTCCATTCTCTGTAAAAACCAATGGAAAAATATCCTCAGGTGAGGATTAACAAAAAGAAAAAAAAAGAAAAGAAAAGAAAAGAAAAGAAAAAGCAAAAGAGAGAGAGAGAGAGAGAGAAGCATAAGAAACACAGTAAGGAAAAGAAGGCTGATAGTTCAAGTCCTGACTCATTATAGTAACATTAAGAAAAATCAGGATTCCGATTGCATATTAGAAAACAGCCCCTGAAGAAATGGTGGAAGCTACACTGACACTCTCCCAGGACCAAATTGGAAGTACAACTAAAATACAGAAAAACCACCCTGAAATATCAACTGAAGACTAGCGGAGAGAACCCTGATAACCAAGGGTAGGAAGTGGAGACCTCATAGAGACTGGTAGGACGTACAGAGATGCCACAGGGCTGGCCAGGCTCCCACAGACAGCAGCTAAACCAGCGGTTCTCAACCTGTGGGTCGAACGACCCTTTCACAGTGGTCGCCTAAGACCATCGGAAAACACATATATAATTACATATTGTTTTTGTGATTAATCACTATGCTTTAATTATTTTCAATTTGTAACAATGAAAATACATCCTGCATATCAGATATTTACATTACGATTCATAACAGTAGCAAAATTACAGTTATGAAGTAGCAACGAAAATAATTTTATGATTGGGGGTCACCACAACATGAGGAACTGTATTAAAGGGTCGCGGCATTAGGAAGGTTGAGAACCACTGAGCTAAAGGGAGGGATATCTCAGCTGTGGGAAATTCCCACTGAGAACTCTGGGCCTAAACCCCAAGCTGGGCTCACCACCCCAGAGCACCAGAACTGAGAAAGGTGCACACAGAACATCTGGCTGTGAAAAGCAGTAGGGTTGCTGTTTGCCAGCCAGAGACGGCTAGAAATGCAGGCACCCTCTTAAAGGGCCAACACACAAAATTTCGTGTGCAGCCACTCACCTTGGGCTCGGGCAGAGGGAGGGCAGAGTGGACTGGAGCTGTGTGAGGAGAGTCCAGGGTTGGGGGCTCTGGGGTTGGAGCTCAGAGCACAACCCCGATTTCATGTACTGAGTCATTCCCTCATACTGCAGAGGACAGCTTTCTCCACAGGTCTTACCTATACAAGTTTTTGCTTGGGGTGAAGACAATTGCCCCACCATGTTGGAAGACATCTTGCCCCACCCTGTGGTCTATAGCTTGAGGCAAATCAATACTGAATGTCAACTGGACTGCAGGCAGAGGAAGATCTCTGGAGGCTTTGACTCTGCCTGATCTTCTGGGCCCGGGGCTAGGAAAAGCAGATCCTGGTGTAGAATCCTGTTCCTTTCCAAAGGCACCCAGCCCCAGCAGAGGCGCCATAGCTGTGGATTGCTGATAGCCCCAAACAGGGTACTCAGGGACAGTCAGAAACAGTGTCTGACATTATCCTGCACCAGAGATCATAGCAGATCTACCTAATATAGACACAAACCCAAACAGGCAATGAAAATGGGGAGACATAAAAAAATAACCCCCAGCCCTGGCCGGTTTGGCTCAGTGGATAGAGTGTCGACCTGCGGACTGAAGGGTCCCAGGTTTGATTCTGGTCAGGGGCATGTGCCTTGGTTGCAGGCATGTCCCCAGTGGGGGGTATGCAGGAGGTAGCTGATCGATGTTTCTCTCTCATCTATGTTTCTAACTCTCTATCCCTCTCCCTTCCTCTCTGTAAAAAAATCAATAAAATATATTTAAAAAAAAAATAACCCCCAGCCCTAGCCAATTTGGCTCAGTGGATAGAGCGTCAGCCTGCGGACCAAAGTGTCCCAGGTTCGATTCCGGTCAAGGGCACCAGCTCGGGTTTCGTGTTTGATCCCCAGTAGGGGGTGTGCAGGAGGCAGCCGATCCATGATTTTCTCTCATTATTGATGTTTCAGTCTCTCTCTTTCCCTCTCCCTTCCTCTCTGAAATCAATAAAAAAATATTTTAAAAAAATAACCCAAAAATGAAAGAACAAGAGAATTCTCCAGCAGAAGAGCTAAATGAAATGGAGCTAAGAAACTTATCTGATATAGAGTTCAGAATAATGATGTCAAAGATGCTCAACAGCATGAGAAAAGGTATAGTAACCATGAAAAAAGACCAGTCGGAAATAAAGAATGACATAGCACTAAGAAAGAACACACTGGAAGAAATACACAGCAGACCAGGGGAAGCTGAGGACTGGATCAGTGACAGGGTAGAAAAAAATCACTCAATCAGAGAAACAAAAAGAAAAAAACAATTAAAAAACAGGAGGACAACTTAAGGGAGCTGTGGGACAACATGATATGTAACAATATTCACATAATAGGAGTGCCAGAAGAAGGCAAACAAAGGATAGAGAACATATTTGAAGAAATAATGACAGAAAACTTCCTTAACCTGGTGAAGGAAAAAGTTGCACAAGTCCAGGAAGCACAGAGTCCCAAGCAAGAAGAACCCAAACAGGCCCACGCCCAGACACATCATAATTAAAATGATAAAAATTAAAGACAAAGAGAGAATCTTAAAGGCAGCAAGAGAAAAGCAAACTGTTACCTACAAAGGAGCTCCCATAAGGCTGTCAGCTGATTTCTCATCAGAAATTCTACAGGCAGAAGGAAATGGCATGAAGTATTCAAGGTAACGAAAAGCAAGGATTTGAAACCAAGACTATAGTCAGCAAGGCTATCATTCAAAATAGATGGTGAAATAAAGAGCTTCCCAGACCAAAAAAGGCTAAAGAAGTTTATCACCACAAAACCAGCACTACAAGAAATGCTAAAGGGACTGCTGTAATGAGAAGAAGAAAGAGAGAGACAGAGAGACAGAGAGACATAGGTATACAGAATTAAAATGGCAATAAATAAGTACCTATCAATAATAACCTTAAATGTAAATGGATTAAATGCTCTAATCAAAAGATGTAGGGTAGCTGAATGTATACAAAAAATGTGACCCAATTATATGCTGCCTATAAAAGTCCCACCTCAGAACAAAAGACTCAGACAGGATGAGAGGGAAGGGATGGGAAAAAAATTCCCATGCAAATGGAAATGAAAAAAAAGATGGGGTAGGAATACTCATATCTGACAAAAAAAGACTTCAAAATGAAGGCCACCACAAGAGACAACAAAGGTCACAACATAGTACTAAACGGAT